GCTGGGGATTCGAACCTGCCACCTTAGGTGTACGTGGCTGGCGCCTTAGCCGGTTGAGCTATAGGCGCCGAGCCGGAAAACTCGATTTCTAAAGAAAATTTTGTTAAATGGTTATGAAACTGTTTACATTAAGGTACAGTTCTACTATGCTAAATACTACATGTGTTAGAACCTACCCACTGAGCTACAGGCACTGCCCTATTTATTTTTTATTTTTCTTTTGAGACATATTGTCACTTTGTCACTCTTGGTAGAGTGCTGTGGTATCACAGCTCACAACAACCTCAAACTCTTGGGCTCAAGTGATTCTCTTGTCTCAGCCTCCCAAGTAGCTAGGACTATAGGCACCTGCCACAATGGCTGGCTATTTTTAGAGACAGGTTCTTGCTCTGGCTCAGGCAGCTCTTGATCCCATTAGCTTCGGCAATCCACCCGCTTCAGACTCCCAAGTGCTAGGATTACAGGTGTGAGCCACCACGCCTGGCCCTATCACCACTTTTTATTTCTGTGGACTAACCTACCTTAACGTCATAGCAGCGAATGGTGTGATCACTGGAACCCGTGTAAAGGGCAGCTTTCTTCCCAACGGTCTGAGTAATCAGGAGGCAGTTCACTTTTGAGGTATGGCCCTCAAAGACACCAATACATTTCCGGCTCTAAAATCAAGCACAGACCAGATTACTGCTTGTGGGAAATACAAGGATTAGATAATATTCCTCAAAAGAAGCTAAAACATTCAGTTCACTCCTGTATCCTCAGAGCCTAGAGTAGTACCTGGTACACCGAAGATGTTCAGTCAATATTTGTTCACAGACTGTCCAACAATCACATGCACTATGGTCGCAAGAATATGTTAGCTAAGCCATACCAAAAATGCTTAGGGCAATTCACCATAAGATAGACCAGAATTTGAAACAATGTTTAGGCCAAGGCTCCAACCTATGAACCAAGGACCTAGCAAATCTAAACTACAGCCAATTACATAGAAAAGTTGTGCATTTGATTAGCAAACAGCTTATGAGAATGCTCAGCAGTATTCAAAAATATGCTTTTGACAAGTCTTAGTGGCCCACGTGTGGTTTCATAAGGGAATATCCCAAATGTCATCTCTGTGAACAAATTGAGATTTAGAACGTGCATATATGTTACACAAACACACACATCTGGAAAGTTGAGAGTTCAACCCAATCGCCTAGATCTTACACTCAATTACCTGGTAACACTGTTTCCTTCATTCAATTATTCCCATTACTATTTCTATCACTAGCATAAAAGAAATTACTTATCTGTTGTATAGAGCACATTTTCTTGATTCACCACCTAACTCTTTAATTTTCACTGATTTCATTGATTTTAAATACTTTCGAGGTGTTTGCTCAGACAAGATGTTTCTAAAGTTTCTAGGCTATCATTGTTGATAAATAGAATTAGTTTGACATGTCAAATTCCAAACTCAAAAGTTCGTTCTTTTGAGAATAAACATCAAAGTGTGAGGTAGTAGAAAAGTGCTGTTCTCCTTAATAATTTGGATTCTATTATTTAATCAACTGTCAGGGATATACCCATCCCTCCTCTATTATGTAGCTGTCAAGCAACCAACTGCATCACCAGCTCCAGGGGCAAGACCTGACTGGCCCAACCCTATTAGTATAATCCTATCCTCCTCTGCCATAGGTGATTACTCACAGGATAAAACACAAAAGACCCTTTCCTGGTGGTAAGAGGGATAAACCCCAGCGGCTCCTGATATCTTGTGAGCAGGAAGGGAACCAACTTGTAAAAAGAGGAGACACCAGAGAAGGCATAGTTGAAAGACAAAAAGAAATTAAGTCCCCAGTGATCCTGCTGAGTTTCTGGAACAACTGTATCTATAGTCTAAAGCCTATACCCCTGAATAGCCAATAAATTCCTTTTATTGTTTAAGAAGGCATGAGCCAGATTTTCTAAAACCTGCGACCAAAAACATTCAAAATATTATATTAACTTACCACCAGATTATAAACTCGGACAGTTTTATCCGCAGAACATGTATATAGTAAGTTTCCAAATATTTGAATTGCATTCACTGCAGCTTCATGCCCCTCAAAGTTTCCTTCTGTGGGCTCATCATCATCTCTAGGCTCTGAAGATATTTCTAGAAGCAAGAATAAGTTTCAGAGACTTGGCTGCTAGATCTGAAAAGATACTCAAAAATCAAAACCTTATTGGTTCCTGGATTAAACCAAAAGATTGTCTTAAAACCCAGTTCCCTTAGAAGAATACCACAATGTTCTTTTTTTTTTTTTTTTTGAGACAGAGCCTCAAGCTGTCCCCCTGGGTAGAATGCCGTGGCATTACAGCTCACAGCAACCTCCAACTCCTGGGCTCAAGCGAGTCTCTTGCCTCCGCCTCCCAAGTAGCTGGGACCACAGGCGCCCGCCACAACGCCCGGCTATTTTTTGGTTGCAGCCGTCATTGTTGTTTGGCGGGTCCGGGCTGGGGATTCGAACCCGCCACCTTAGGTGTATGTGGCTGGCGCCTTAGCCGGTTGAGCTATAGGCGCCGAGCCTACCACAATGTTCTTTAAAATTCTTCACTATGAAGATTCCATAAGGGCGGCGCCTGTGGCTCAGTGAGTAGGGCACCGGCCGAATATACTGAGGGTGGCAGGTTCAAACCCAGCCCCGGCCAAACTGCAACAAAAAATAGCTGGGTGTTGTGGCGGGTGCCTGTGGTCCCAGCTACTTGGGAGGCTAAGACAAGACAATCACCTAAGCCCAAGAGCTGGAGGTTGCTGTGAGCTGTGATGCCGTGGCACTCTACCAAAGGCAACAAAATGAGACTCTGTCTCTAAAAAAATAAAGATTCCATAATAAAAGATAAAGCAGTATAGACCTTTTACTTAGGAAAAAGACAGGTACTTATATAATGAGCTTTTGTGTGATACGTGGAAGGCACTCAATCTTTCCCATACCATCTCCCCTGCTTTCAAACAGTTATTTGAGTAAGGCATTAATCCTTAAGCAGTTCCTTCTCAAAGCATAAATCCCTAGAGCCAGTGAAACCTTAATTGGTTGAAGAGATAAGGGAGCCAGATAAGAAAATAAGAAACTAAAAAAAATGAGAATTTGAGGTTTTAGGGATATTGGAACTGCTGATGGAGACAATCCTCTTGGTGATAAACCACTTCCCTTTCTCCTATTCTATAAACGTATTTAAGAAGATTTAAGCCCTCGCTTTCATATTTGTAAGACTTTTTTCCCCTTCCTGTGGATAATCTAAATAAAATGAAACAACCAATACCTGAAGAGTTCTTTGATGCTTTTATGGAAGTGATCACAGTCTGAGTTTCTGCCACTCTACAAAATAATAGCAAAAGTCTTTTTAGAATCTATGTAAACAGGACAGGTAGGTAGTAAAATTAAAAATTTCCTGACTCAAATGATTTTTCTAAACAATAAGCAGAGGAGAGATATAAAAGATGTTTTTCATCTGAAATTTCTATATGAAAGAAGAGCAAATTTAATATTTATAACATAGAAGAGAAAACAGAATATCTCTACTGCCAAGGTTTCATTCTTCCATATCTATAACCACTACTGCTTTCATGTTAATTCTGATTCATAACTAAGTTTTATTTTTATTTTTTAAATGGAGGTTCATGCCTGTAATCCTGGCACTCAGGGAGGCCAATATGGGAGGGCTACTTGAGGTCAGGAGTTAAGAGACCACCCTGGGCAAGAGCAAGACCCTGTCTCTACTACAAATGGAAAAATTAGCCAGGCCTTGCGGTGGATGCCTAGTCCTAGCTCCTCAGGAGGCTCAGGGAGGATGATCGCTTAAACCTAGAGTTTGCAGTTGCCGTGAGCTATGATGCTGCTGATGCATTACACTCAGGGCAATAGAGACTCTGTCTGAAGAGGAGAGGGAAGGCGAGGGAAGGGAAGGGAAGAGAAAAATAGTGAAAGCAGTTCAGATTGGACCAATGTAATTATGCCTTACCTTACAGGGATGCCATCCTTATAGCGAGTGCCAATCTCACTGGTAGAGCTCACTTCATCACAAGCAGAACGAGAAGTTTCTGGTGGGTTTTGCTCTGCCGAGTTCCAAACATCCTTTTTAGATGGACTGTCTGGTTTCTCTTCTCCAGATTCAGAAGAATCAATGGCTACGATTTCTAACTGAGGATTAGGAATTTCTAGGACTTCCAGAGATGAGTCACTATCTGGCTCATCTCTGACACTCTCCTGCTCCTGCCCAGCCCTGATATCTTCCCAAGCGGAGATTGTTACTCTCCCTGCTTTAGACAACTTTCCAGTTTTTACTTTCCTTACAGGTTTAGCAGTAAATACATCCTGTTCAGTGTCACTATTCTCAGGAACATGGGCAGCCCGTAGCATTTTCTTCTTTCGAAGTTTCTTTTTTTTCTTATTTCCTCTAGTTTCAGCTGATGTCAGAGTGGACTCTGCCTGTTGCTCAGGCTGGTCAGCTGGAGAGTGGGGTTCCTTCTCCAAAGGGGCTTCTGAAGCAAAAGATAATCTTAGAAAAGAACTTGTATAAGCTTCAGATCCACTGTTGACTTTGGCTGGCTCTTCACCTTCTCTTTTCATGCTAGGAAGACCAGCTGATTGGGAAGAGGGAGGGGTTTCTCTGTTTCTGGTATTCCCTTGTTCCACAGAAAACTTCACGTCTTGGCTAGGCTCATGGAAACTTTCTGTTAGCTCTGATAAGGACAACGTAGCAGTGAAGACTGGATAAACTGGACAACTGTCACTGATCTCTCCTGAATTAAGAAGAATAAAATCACTGCATCTTTTTTGTGTGTTTAGTGTTAATAGTCGCAAACTGCAAATTATTTATTACGGTTAGATCTCCACCAAATGTTTCAATGATACGGTCACAAAACCATGACTATTACAGCTGTAATCCCACCCCTCAGTTTCCCATAGCCCACACATTCCTGTTATAGCACTTACTACACTTTGCCTTGTATTAATCTCAGAAATAACATGCATGTCTTATTCTCAACAAAAACTCATCGTTAGCAAGAATTGTGTCCACTGACTGGGTGCCCATAGGTCAGCGGTTAGGGCGCTGGCCATACACACAGGGACTGGTGGGTTTGAGCCCGACCCAGGCCTGGTAAGTAACAATGACAACTGCAACAAAAGAGGAGCCGGGTGTTGTGGTGGGCGCCTGAAGTTTCAGCTACTTGGGAGACTGAGGCAAGAGAATCACTTAAGCCTAAGAGTTTGAGGTTGCTGTGAGCTGTGTGACATCACAGTACTCTAACGAGGGGGCGACATAATAAGACTGCCTCAAAAAGAAGAAAAAAGAAAAAAGAACTGTGTCTATTGATCTTTTTTCTTCGCCAGGCACAGTGGCTCACTTCCTAGCACTCTGAGAAGCTGAGGTGGGAGGATTCCTTGAGCTCAGGAGTTCTAGACCAGTCCAAGCAAATACAAGACACCATCTCTACTAAAAAGTAGAAAAATTAGCTGAGTGCTGTGGTAGGCACCTGTAGTCCCAGCTACTTGGGAGGCTAAGGCAATAGGATCACTTGAACCTAGGATGAGGTTGCTGTGAGCTATGATGCCACGGCATTCTGGCCTGGGCACCAGAGTGAGACACTCTCAAAAAAAGTCCAAAACAACACCTCCCCCCTTTTTCTTGTTTTAAATGTCTACATATTTAATACCACATTTTATTCTTAGTAGTCACTTAACTATCTCCTTAGCTGATGTGTTTTCACTATAACTTCTTAGAAGTTTGCATTTTATATTTTATACACACCCATCCAATTTAATCTATTAGTAGATTAAAAGTCAGCTGACTTAAAAATGTCCATCTCTTTTGACTTAGTTATCTCATGTCTAGGTATTTAAATTGATGAAATAATCACAGATGTACTCAAAGACATACACAATGTAGTGTTATATAAAATATTAAAAAAGTGGGAAAACTAAATATTTGAAAAAGGTTTATTATATAAATTATTGCACATCCAGATCATGCAACTATTCACATATTACACAACTAGCAAAATAAAGTATTTTAGATGAATTATGACACAGGAAAATGATCATGATATATTAAGTGAAAAAAATCGGCTCGTAATATACTATGATTCCTTCTTGGTACGAACTCTACATGAAAACATACAACACTTAATGACTTAAGAAAGCCTGAAACAATACACAACAACATGACCTTCTTTTTAGTTTTTTTTTTTTTTACAATGAATATGAATTACTTTTATAATCAGGAAAAGAAATCTTATTAGCTTTTTTTCCAAAAAAATTAGCTTAAAAGGTCACTGTAATACTTCTTTACTTTTTTGTTTAATCCTAGATACTATCCGTGTAAAAGTAACTTAAAATTTTATATGATAGATAATACACATGTGATAATTGCTATCTAGATAAGTACTGCCAAGTCTGGTATCAAAATCTAGGATAATTCTTCAGACTTTGTTTTCACTTAAGAAATCACACAATGCCAGTGTGTTTGACTTAAATTTCAACATGGCACTACTATAATTATGCAAACTTCCAGTAGGATTTTTAAATGGCTTAAATGCTAACTGGGTAAATGCAATTTCATAAAAATAGCCAAAACCTTGGCTATTTCTCAAACCAACCAAGTTCCTATTACATATTTCAAGCTGCAGAGCCCTCTGCCTTCCATGATGACACCTGCCTCGCAGGCTTATTAACCTGATTTGTATTTGCGATGATAAAGACAGTTTAGTGCTAAGAAATTCAGAGGATATACCTTATCTAGAAAATTGGCTGAACTTCAAGCCCATTTATCTCACAAAACCAGACATATTCTGCACCTATCCTAATAAAAAGAACATTTTAGGTGTTAACACAAAGTCGACTCAGTGACCCTTGATCACAGAAAATTAAAGAAAAGTTAGAAATATTTAAATTTACATTCTCTGAAATATTATAAAATAATCCTCCTATAAGAAGGGAATTTCAATGAAAAATTAATTGCAATTACTTTGGTTTTAATTAGTAAGTATGGCTTTACATCACAAGTATAAAACTGCCCTAGTCTTACTACAGGGATGCCCTTAACCCAGAGAAAAGCTTACATACTATTAGCTTGCAGTAATTCCTTGGACACATTGCAAGCAGAACCTTGTGACACAGCATTCACATTCTCATCTTGTCCGGGAGACATAGGCTCTTGTTTAATCTGAACTGATGAGTCTGGAGCAGGGCCACTGCCATGGGGTTGGAAAGCAGGAGATGTGGTTACTTGAAGAGGGGTTCCAGTGGATGACGGTGGCACATGGGAAGATGGAGCCTCCAGGAAAACTGGGAAAAGGGGAGCAGGCAGCAGTGTGACATCAGATGTTTGAGATCTACTGTTCCTTTGTTCTCGTGTGAGGCTATAGGGAGCTTGGTCTGGGTGCTCAGCAGGTTCATATGTTTCTAGAATGAGAAACATACATACATACAGATGCAAAAATGTTACCTGAAAAGTCACTTGTTTCTGAGCCAATCTGTATTTAAAGATTAGAAGAGCATTTTAAATAATTAGGATAATTTCTCATAATCCTTTAAAATAGAAGTCATACAGCCTATGCGACCACTTACAGGCACACACAGAACAGGTAGCAACATTCTAATTTGTCAAATTTCAACTGATGTATCCAAAGTTAGTAGGTTACTAACAAAAGAATAAAGATTTGAACCCAGATTGTTTGATTCCTAACCCAAAGCTCTTCCTGTAACATACTGCCTTTATTGCTAAAAATCTTTGGGATGTATAGTTTACAGGCCTTTCTAGAGGAGGACAGGACCAATGAGACATTAGAGAAACCACGTGACCCTTTCCTGACTACTTTTCATTTCCCTGTAAAAGAGAACAAAAAAGTAACAAGCTGTAGAGGGCCCAATCCATGAGATGTCCTCTGAATACCTTGTAGTCCCTGTAGAATCTGTATTCTATGGGTCCTCAGTGCACTCATCTCCATAGTTATCTAAAAATAAAGTATTTTGTTAAGCATGTTGAAATCCAACTTGTATCGTCTTCCAGTTTCCCCACTTTCTCTCTGTGTCTTGATTGAAAATCTCAGAGTGCCCTGACCACTCTGTGACTCAGCTGGAAGTTTTTCTCAGCAGGTTTAAACCCAAACCGGGGTCTTGGTCATTCCCAGGCACTGATAAAGGTAACTAGGTTTTTGCCCAAACCATTGAAAGAAACTAGTCCCGGGCCCTGAGCCAAATTCCTTATTAAACCATCATAAAAACTCCATATCCTGGCCCCCTTGTTGTGGGCATACCTATATGGAACACCCATTTCTTACTGTCCATTATACCCCACGCTGCTGCTGCAGCTGCAGCCCGCTCTGTACCCCTCTGGACTGACCACCCCTGGCATTTAGTGCTTCTTTCTTTGGAATGCCAACGGGACCCATCCTGGAATAGTTTGGGGCACTCCTTTATGGGAATTCCTCTGCTGTTTCTTTTAGGGCAATTCCAGTCACAGTGTTTAGCAGGATGAAATACAACTTCGGAGATGATCTACTTTCCCTAAACCTATGTGCTGTTACCTGTTGCTTGAGCATGAGTAGCCTCTGAACTTCAACATAAGCTGTCTGAAGGGCTGCACGGGCCTGTAGAAGATTGTTATCCATGCACTGCAATGACTTACTTAGTTCTTCCTCCCTTAAAGAAATAGTCAGCAGCTGGTCAACCTGAGAACGTTCTGTCAAAAGAAACCATAAGAAGAATCTATCAGTTTATTTATGAGACAAGAGTCTCACGCTTCATCCTAGTCATGAGAGTGGTGTGGCGTCATAGCTCACAGCAACCTCAAACTCCTGGGCTCTAGAGATACTCTTGCCTCAGCCTTCTGAGTAGCTGGGACTATAGGCATCTGCCACAATGCCCAGCCAATTTTTCCATTTTTAGTAGAGATGGGGTCTCTCTCTTACTCAGGCTGGTCTCAAACTCCTGAGTTCAAACAATCCTCCAGTCTTGGCTAGTATTACAGGCATGAGCCACCATGCCTGGCCTGGAGGTTCAATACTGGAGACTTCCTTTGAGAGAACAGTTTCTCAAAGGCCTGAACTACACCAATTATTTAAGATAAGCCTTTATTTTCTCAATAGGTCACTGGAGAGTCATCAAATCTCACAAAATATTCAGTCAAATCTGACAATGCTAGAAACCAAAAAACTTGGCAAGATGGAGGTACCTCACAGGTTCAAGTGTACCATCACATCCTACTGTCTTACCTAATCACCATCTTCCACCACTACCTTTCCAGGTGAAATCTCTGTCCCACATCAATCAGTTGTTCCAAGTTTCATTTCCCATTCTTTCTTTGTCTTCCACCCTCTTCACCCAGGGCTTTTGCCCACACTGGACCTTAGACCTAGACTGTTGCACTCTCCTCCCAATCTGTATTTTTCTAGTTTGTTAGCTTAAAATAGTTCTTTGTATTAGAGAAGGCTTCCTGAAGAAAATACAGCTTTGAAAAAAGTACACTTAACTTACCCTAAATATTCTACTATGCATATATATTTATCATTATTATGTCTGTCTCTTTCCCAGTCATCATGCCAACATCTTTCTCCTAGATGCCAAATTTATATATACAACTATCAACTATCATATCTCTCTACCCAGGTGTCTCAAAGGTCATTTAAGTCTAAAGCTCCATAGAGAACTCATCAACTTGCTCCTACACAGAGTTTTCTAGCTCTACAAATGATACCATCATCCACTTGGTTGCCCCAGCCAGAAACTGAGCTTGTCCTTGACTTTTCCCTTATGTATTACCTCCACTCACCCACAGCTCATTAATCTCTTCCTGTACTAGCCCTTCTATTGGAACAGGGCTAGAGGCAATGAAAACTTAAGAGTCACAGAAATGTATCAGTGAGGAAGCAATGCTATAACCTCTTCTTAATTAACTTTACAAAAATAACCAAGATGCCTCAAAAACAGAAAGTGAGAGAAACAGTTATACATGGCCATCTGAGGTAATGAAACTTTCTCACTTTATACTTTCCAAGAGATATATTACAGGCATGAGCTGTAAGCTAAAGACCTGTAGCTGCTCACAGGTCTATGTGGCATCATATATTTCTTCTATAGTTGTAACTGGGTGTTGTAGGAAATCAATTTTCTGTTTTTTTTTTTTTTTTTGAGACGGAGCCTCAAGCTATACCTCTGGGTAGAGTGCCATGGCATCACGCTCACAG